CCCAGCTACTCTTCCAGGAAGCCACCATCTGTTTGTACTCTACTATCGCTGAGTCCAGATGTTCTCATCCTCCCAGTGAATGTTTTCCAATTGGAACTTCTTGTTTAAGCACACTAAAGCAGAGCAATGTGTTATGTACGATGGACTTTTGCTGGTTTGAGTCATCCATTATTAAAAGATGTGCAAGACAGCTCTGTTGATTTTGTGCTGTGTTCTCAATCAGCAATACAACACCCTCAATCATAAAATTAAACCTTGGGGATTTGTATCTCAGAGATAAAAAGACTTAAATTTCAAGTCTAGGATAGGAGACAAAAAAATTATTAAATTTATAAAACGAGCAGAAAAACAACCTGAGTTTGGAGATGAAACAAAAAAATTGGAACTAAAGTAACAGTCATGATTCTGTTATGACAATTCATAAGCTTTACCATTTAAGAGTAGGCTTCATACACTGAGCTCTCCTCTCCCCTCTTTATTTGCCTTATCTACCTGAGGTCCAGCTGCTGGTCTGGCTGGGCCTCCTGAACATCCTGTGACCATGACCTTCACCTCACAGAACTGGCTTACAGTGTGGGCCATTACAGAGGTATGTATAGTGCTCCCACATGAACATCACTAGGCTTGGGGCACTAAACCTAAATGTAGTAGAGGAAGCAGGAACTTACTATGGGTTCCCTGATAACAATGAGAAAAATAACATTATGATAAGCCTGCTTTTCTGGATCTAACTTTTAAAAGCCAGCTGATCCTGAGGATTATACGGTGATATTCACAAATAATGATTATCAAAAGTTGCACACATAAAAAAACTATTTCAGGTTTCTCGTTTAAGTGGATTCCTACTATATTTGTCCTTTGTGTCTAGCTTAGTTCAATGTGTCTAGCTTAGCACAATGTCCTCAAAGTTTATCCATATTGTAGCATGTATGAGAATTTTTTCTCAATAGATACTTAGATTGCTTTGGCCTATTTTGAAAAGTATACAATTAACAAAAGAATGGGAACAGCATTAATATGGAGAAAAAGCTATTGGATTTTGAGGACTACTTGCTATTTGGGTGGCAATAGCATGAACTTTGGAACCACACTAACTGATTTGAACTTTGTTCCATATTTGTTTCCTTTGATTCATCACCTGTAGGATCTTGAGCAAGGATTCTAATCATAATTTGTTCAGTTTCCTTACCTTAGATGGAGCTAATAAAACCTTTCATATAAGGTTAGTGTAAGGATAAAAGTGCTAATCTTATAGATATAAAACATCTTATAGGATTTTTGCTAAACAGCTTTTAAACATTTATTTTTCATGTTGAAACTGCCAAATAACAATAAAGAAATAAAGATAAAAGATGGGGCTAGCAGTTAGTGTAATGGCTATGTTGCTGGACTCCCATGTAGGCAACCACAGTTCGTGTCCCGGACCCGGTGCCTTGAACCCCATGTAGGCGCATGTGTGTGTGTGCCCAAGATCCTAAGAGGAAAATGGAGGAAAAGGGATTGTGGCGTGGCCATCCCCCGGGGGGTGATTTCTCACTTTCTGTCTCTCTGTCTGTCTCTGTCTTTCTGGCGAGTGCACACGCCCTATAGCAAAAACCTCTCCAAAAAAAAAAAAAGAGGAAACTGATTTGCCCCAGTAAACACCAGGAAAGTTCAGGATTTGGCAGCGCCAAATACCACACATAGTGGAGATGAGGAAGGGTCTCAAAACAAGGGCTACAGAAGTGCTAGAACAGATTTAGACCCAGAATCAGAATTTTTAACCATAATTCTGAAGTAAAAAAGGCAAGAAAACAGCCCTTTTAAAATGTAGAGGGGAAATGCTTTTCAAGAAATATTCTATCCCAAATTAAACTGTCAATTAAAACAGCTTCGGTCATGAAAGGCACACAGGACAAGGAGAATGGGAAAAGAGACAACAGTAAATAAGAGATGTCACACAAGCTTTAGAGAATAGACATCAAATGGAGGCAGAGCAGATATGCCATTGGTACTCACTGTTTTGCATTATTCTGACTCTATTGGTCATTTACTCTCCGTGTCCATTTTTTTTTCTTTTTTTTGGAGAGGTTTTTGCTATAGGGTGAGTGCGCTCGCCAGACAGACAGAGAGAGACAGAGAGACAGAAAGTGAGAAATCACACCCTAGCGGGCATGGCCACACCACAATCCCTTCTCCTCCATTCTCCTCTCAGGATCTTGGGCACGCATGCACACGCCCCCAGCGTGAGTTTAAACCACCGGGTCTGGGACTCGAACCACGGTCGACTACGTGGGAGTCCAGCGACATAGCCATTATGCTAACTGCTGGTCCCAGCAGTGTCCATTTTGTGCTCATGCTTTTCTTGTGGTTAATACACGATCACACATGGATGGAGGAATGGTAATGAGACAGGAAGGGTCTGAAGCAAGGAATGTTCCAAATACCAACAATAAAACCTGACATACGAAAGTGGCTATGAGACTGGGTCTCAACCAGTTGGAACCAAGATGGTGACTGGAACGACTGCTGCCTCACCTTCAAACTCATTATATCCTCATTGTACTATATTGGTACGCTATTGGGTCATCGGAAAAGTCATGATGTATTTTTTCCTGATTATTTTTTTATATAAAATGTGTCATGACTTTTCCAACAACCCAATAGATGACACTCCTACTGGCACCATGACAGTTTGGAATAACCATGACATTGATCAGAATTATCCTAACAAGGCTAGAAAATGGGAGGAACAGAGGAAAACTACTTCCCCTTTTTATATAAACCAGATACCCACCTGAGTCCAGGCTGTCTTGTCCATGGGTAGCCCTTCTATCTTTCCTTTTGGGTAACGGCTCTCCCCACCCTCTTGGAGGAAGGAATAAAACTGTTCACTCATCTCCTCTCATGGGGCTGCTCCATCCACTGAGTAGTCTGCTCTGTACACTTTACTTAATAAACCTGTTTTCACATTCCCTCAACGGCTCACTCTTGAATTCTTCCCTGCGAGAAGCCAAGGACCCTTAGATCCTGGACAAAGACCTTTCTAGGATTCAGTCTCCCTGGCAATAGTAACCGATTTATTAGCAAGATGAAATTTGCCTTAGAGATCTAAACCTGTCTGTGAATAAGGAAGCCAATGAGAGAAAGCTGATTGATCCAGACAACACCAGGAAAGTTCAAGATTTCGTAGCACTAAACACCAGGCGCAGTGGAGAAGAGAAAAGGGCTAAAACAAGGGCTGCAAGAGTGTTGGTGCAAATTTAGAGCCAGAATCAAGATTTTATTCCTTTTTTTTTTTTTGCCTTAGGGCATGAGAAAGAGAGAAACAGAGAGAGAGGGAAAGTGAGAAATCACTTCCAGGGAATGGGGGGTGTGTGTCCATACTGCAATCCCTTCTCCTTTGAGGATTTTTGGCATTCATGCATATGTGCCTGCTGTGATTTTCAAGCTGGCCAACTCCAGCCTTGAACTGCAGCTGGTCATGTGAGAATCCAGTGCCTTAACCATCTAGCTACCTGCTTCCAACCCCCATCAGAATTTTTAACCACAATTCTGAAGCAAAAAAGGAATCAAAACTTTTAAAATGTAGAAGGAAGGTATTTTTTAAAGAAATATTATACCCCCAATTAAACTATTGAATGAAACATCTTCAGATATGAAAGGCCTCAAAAATTTTATTCCCTATGTTCTTTTTCTCAAGAAGTTATTGGATAACATGATTTGTAAAAATGAGGAGTAAATCAAGACAGAGGAAGACACAAAGGGCAGGAAAGAAGAATTCTAGTGTAGAAACAGAGAAAATTCCCAGTAGAGAGAGAAGTGCCAGGACAAGTGTGCATGAGGCCTTAACTGTGAACAGTTCCGGGGAAATGATAGTCCCCCAACAAAAGGAAATAAAATTGATAAACTACCTAATGCACTAATGATGAGAAAAACAGTATTTTTAAAAAAGATTTATTTAATTTTATTATTTTTTTAAAATTTGACCAGAGAGACAGAGAGAGAGAGAGAGTCAAACAGAGAACGTCAGAAAGCAAGCCACAAGATCCAGGACTCAAACTGTGGTTGGCCATATGGGATTTCAGTGCCTTAACCACTATGCCACTTGCTGGCCACAGAGAAAAATAGTATTAAGAAAGATTTTACAATTATTTTGAGAGTTTGTGAATAAATGTACGTACCTAGAAAACTAAAATATGCCAATAATTAACTAAAAAAAAAAACTTGCACAAGAAGAACGTCATAATCATAGTACTCTACTTGGTTGAAAAGTAAACATAATTGTCATGTACCTGTATCAGGAGGACAAGAAAGAAATGAAAAATATGAGGCTAATATTTCATTATCCATAATACAAAGTCAATAAATACTAAGAAAAATCAAAAGTAGAGTTTATTCATAGTTTTTAGTGAAATGAATTAAAGGACATTTCCTCTGAAGAACAGGATGGGAGTTGGGGAATCTTATATTTTCTTTTTCAAAATTATGTACAAATACTATTTGAATAACAATGATTAATTTAAAAAATAAATGCTATCTTTACATGTGAGTACACACATACAGTGCCCATTACTTGGTAAATATTCAGTATTCAATATTTCTATTGTTTGTGATGAGCTTGGATGAGAACTGAGAGGAGAGATTCAGAGGCTTTTTCTGTAGAAGGGGCTTATAGGCAGCAATCTGACTGAAAGGTGAGTACAGTGGGTTGAACAGTGGCTCCAGAAAGACATGTGTAAGTCCTAAACCCAGACACTATGATGGTGGCCTTATTTGGAAATAAGGTCCCTGCAGATATAATAAAGGATCTCAGAGGAGAACATTCTGGATTTAGCATGCACCTTAAATCCAATGACGGGGCCAACAGGTGATGTAGTGGTTAAGGCACTGAATTCCCACATGGCTGGCTGCTGTTCAAGTACCGGACCCAGTGACTTGAAACTCACATGGGCACATGTGTGTGCATGCCCAAAATCCCAAGAGGAGAATGGAGGAGAAGGGATTGCAGCATGGCCATCCCCCCTGGGAGGGTGATTTCTCACTTTCTCTGGCTCCATCTCTTTCTGTCTCTCCAGTGAGCATGCGCACCATAGAACAAAAATCTCTTTCCAAGGGAAAAAAAAAATCCAATGACAAGTGCCCTTGTAAGAACAGAAAAGGGAAGACTGAGAGACACAGAAGGGAAGGCCAGGAATAGAAGGAGGTTAGAGTGATGTATCTACAAGCCAATGAATGCCAAGAACTGCCAGTAGCCATTAGGTAGGAGAGGCATGTAGTGAATTCTCCCTCAGAACTTTCAGAAGGAATCAGCTCTGCCAACACTGATTTTGGACTTCTGGTCTCCAGACCTCAGAGATAGAATGCATTTTTGCCATTATAAGCCTCCTGATTTTTGGTACTTTGTTAAAGTCACCTTTCAGCTCTGCCAACACTGATTTTGGACTTCTGGTCTCCAGACCTCAGAGATAGAATGCATTTTTGCCATTTTAAGCCTCCTAGTTTTTGAGATGAGTCACCTTAATAAACAAGTACATACAGTGGGGTTAGCAGATGAGCTTTGCAGCTTCATTTGCAGAATATATATCTTATTGTTTTAGATTATATTTTTATTTAGGAGCTTTAATGAAGATTTTAGGGGTGATGTAAGCCTCCCTAAACTGTCCCTTGCCATTGCTACTGGCTAGATTCCAAACTGGATGAAAACAATGAAATAAATGTGTTTAAAAGGTATTTCACAGGCCAGCAGGTAGTATGGAGGTTAAGGCACTGGATCTCACATGGCTAGCTGTGCAATTCTAGTCCCAGACCCAGGGGCTTGAAAATCATGTCAGGTGTGAGTATGTGAGTATCCAAAATCTGGAGAGAAGACTGGAAGAGAAGGCATTGCAGCATGGCCATCACTACCTACCCCAC